CAGGAGAGGAGCTCCCTGAGGGCTCCGTCTTCGGCAGCGGTACCAGACATGATCTCTGGCGGCGGGCGTCCAAGCTCGTCGATGCTGTCCGAGATGTGCATGATGGCCTGGCGCTGCCCCTCGTGAGCCACGGCAGGGGGCGAGGACCGAGAACCATAAAATGAATTAAGTGCGTTGGCGGCCGAGCGAACCCTATCGTCACGATGAAGGCGATACCCAGCGCGCCTAGCCGAGCGGCGACTTCCTGGCGCTGGGGGTGGGCGAGCAGCACCAGCGGGGATCGGCAGCGGGAAGACGCCACGGTGACGAAGTCCTCCACGCGAGCCAGGGCCTGCGGCTGAAGCCGCACTCTTGTCCCAGGGAGAGGCTGGCACAAATGCCTCCCCCCGGTGCTTCTCAGCCATTGCTGTCTGGGGCTGTGCGGCCGCCCCCCCCGCCGTCTCTGCTGCGTCCGCGGCCGCGGCCGCGCCCTCGGCCTCGCCCATCGCTGCCGCCACCGCCGCCAGAGCTGCCGCCAGCTGCGAGGAGCCGCTCCTCGCGCGCCTTGCGCCGCTCCTTGGCTATGTTGGCCTCGCGTGCCTTCTCTGCGGCCAACCAGTCCCTCAGAGCCGGCGCCGCGCACGCGTTCCCGCCTGCGTCCAGAGCACCCGACATCAGAGCTGCGTCTGAGCCGAACTCCGAGGCAGCGGCGAACCTGTCTCGGTACAGCTCCTCCTGGGTCTGGAGAGTCCGACCGACCAACTCCACGGCGGCGACGTTAGTCACGTGGAGCTGGTCGTAGACCACGCCCAGCTCGAGGAGGCGGCAGCACAGCAAGTGGGTATCGACCCCTGGATCGTCGGCCTCAAGGTACCCCTCTGAGACCACTTCGTGCGCCTGCCAAGCGGAGTACCCCCATTGCGGCAGATGAAGTTCAGCACCCGCAGCAGCGCGCGGGGCCCCTTGAGGGGCCAGTCGCCCCAAGGTAGTTCGCGTAGGCGAACCACTGCAGCTCGAAAGTCCACGCACCTCACCCCCTGCGCGTCGAAGGCCACCGACTGAATCCGAGCGTCGCCTCCTCCAGCGCCTGCGATGGCAGCCAATGCTGCGGCCGCTCCACCAGGACCAAGGCCACCGCCCACAGTAGGCGGAGGGGCGGCGGCAAGCCCAGGCGCAGGCACGGCCACGGCGGCGCCGCCCAGAGCGCCTGGAGCGGCTGGGGGCGCCCCTCCTCCGCCAAAAGGCGCGCCCGCTGGAGCACCTCCTGCCGCAGGTGCTGGCGCTGCCGCCACTGGCACAAGGGCGGCTGCGCCCGCTGGCGCGGCCGCTGGGCCGCCCCCAAGGGCTGCGGCTAGCCCTGCCAGGCCACCCAGATCCCCAGGAGCGCCGCCGGCACCGCCAGCAACGGGGGCAGCCGCGGGCCCAGCGCCAGCCGGGGCGCCGGCCACAGCCGCGATGACACGCCCTGCCGTGTTCAGCGCGATCGGCGGTCCCGCACCCAGCCCAAGAGTGCCTCGAACAGAGGCGGCACCCGTCGCGACGTCACCCGGAAGAGGGAGACCACGGAAGCGGTAGACCTCGTCACCAGCTGAGGTGGCCGCTACGGCGCCCGCTGAGGCGCCGGCGGGGATCGCGTACTCCCTGATGTCCGCACCGTTCTGCATGATGGCCTCCACGTGCGCGTGACCATCGGGAGTCATGATCCCTGTCCCGAAGGGCGGCGCCGTCTGAAAGGCCAGTATCAAACGTTCGTGCCAGATCCGAGCGCCTCCCACACGATACGGCACATGGATGGAATCGCCCTCGTCGAGCCCCTCCAAAGCAAGCGGGCGTCCACTTGCCGCCGCAGCGGCGGCTGAGCTGGCCATCGCGAGGCGGAAGCCCGCGCTCTGGCTATGGCAGCCTGCGCTCTAGCCTCCTCCTCCGAGGACGGCTTGAGAGGGGAACCGCCGATCGGTTGCCAGGCGCCCAGCCACCGCGCGGCCAGGAGACCCCCAGCGAAGCCGGTCACGCCAGCGAGGGCCACCGCGGACAGCGCCCACCCCGGGGGTCCGCTCGGGCAGTCCAGGCGCGCCACCTCCTGGCCTGGGGCGCAGGTGAGGGCCGGCGCACACGTACAGGCCGGGCACTCACCGCGAGCCGCCCACAGCAGCGCTGCCTGCCCAGCACCGTGCACCGCCTCGCCCGCCAGCCATGCGGCGAAGGCCATCGAAGTGCCTCGGCTTGCACTTTGAGCCCGATGCCAGCGGGGCAGGCAACAGATGAGTGCGGCGCTCTCTCTCCACCAGGCTCCGCTTCACGTTTCAAAACTGGACATATACATGTATGTATATATATATATACATATATATATAGAGAGAGAGAGAGAGAGAGAGAGATGTGGTTGGCCGCCACACTGACAACACCGCCAGAATCGGAGTCAGCTCCGTCGAGGAAGGCGGATTCGCAATATTTGAATCGGAGCTCGAACTCAGGTCGCCTGGGTGGCACACGTGCATATCACCAACGCCTTGGAGATCGGGTGCCGTCTTCCTGCCATCCTTCGATTGAGGCGACCCCTGATCTTGGTGGCGGTGACAATAAAAATGCGCCGCCACAGAAAGAGGGGTAGCCACGGAGGCCCGTGGATGTCCAGAAAGGTGCTTGGTGGCCTGGAAGCCGCTCGAGGTGCCCGGATGGAGCCAAATCCTCAACCCTCGAATGCGATGCGGGGTTCGTCCAGCAAGGCTGGGGGGCGGGAAGAACCCAGCAGGAAAGCAAGCGTGCACTCGCGGTAACGGTGAAGTTGCGCTCGAGCCTCCGCTCACATTCCCTCCTTCCCCTCCTCCTCCTCCTCCTCCTCCTCCTCCTGGGCCGAACCGATCTGAATGTAACCGACTGCGGCGATCGAGTCAAAGACGCACTTGCTGCTTCAGAGACCTGGATGACCTAGCTTCGGGCTTCGCGTCCTCACGCCACCCACCTGGAGAAGGACGCCTTTGTGGCTCAGACCGCGAGTCGCGAACAGCGATTATCACGCCCTTGCTGGTGACCCAATGGACGGAGGTTGATGTTTCACCAAAAAACATGGGTGACCGAAAGAACGGGGAACGGGAGGTGGATAACTGACCGGTATTCGAGCAAGCGAAGATCTGTGAAATTAGGGTTCCTCCTCCTCCTCCGTACGCCTCCTCTTCCTCCTCCGTACGCCTCCTCCTCCGTACGTCCCCTCTCCCCCTCTCTCTCCGCCTGCTTCATCCCTTTTCCCTCCTTCGCCCCTTCTTTCTTCCCTCCGCCCTTCTCCCTCCTGTCCCACCTCCCATCTGGTCTGCCTCCAAGTCCCATCCTCCCCCTCCCCGCGGCTCTGGCACAAGGCCCGTTTTGGGTCTGGTGACCAGGGGAGCCAGGCGTATCATGAGGTCAGCTCCTGGGCAAATGCCTATCGAAGTATACAAATAGACTGAGAGCGCGACGGCCCGCGAGGAATCCGCACCGTGCCTGGGACGACCAGCGGGCCACTGGCTTGCCTCCCTCCTCCTCGCTCGCGTCCTGCCTCCCCATCCTCCATCATCCCTCTTCCATCCTGCTCCCTCATCCATGTGCCGTCATCCTCCACCACTCATCCTCCGTATTCCCCCTCTCCCCTCTCACTCCTCTCTTCCTCGTCATCAACCCTCCAACCATGCTCTGCATTAACTCTTCCATCTCTGCCTTTTCCCCGTCCTCCTCATCATGCTTCCTGAACTATCATCCATTATTTCCCTGCCGTTTCCACCTTCGCTTCACGAAATCGACGTCGTCATCATTCTCTTCAAGCCTGTCCTCCTCCTTCTCCCTCGTCCCTCCCTGATCCCCCCTCCCTGCCCCATCATCCCCCCAGCTCCTCCTGCCCCAGCCCCCTGCTCCCCCCTCCTCCTCCTTCGCGCACTTCCCTCTCATGCGTTTGCACCTGCTCCTTCCCCCTCGGGGGGCGGAAGGTGGGTGGAACGAGCTGGAAGGCTGGGGCTGTCGCCAACAAACGACGGCGACCCTCTGCAGGAGGTCGGCCATCGGTCCACGTCCGCCCTGACCCCGCGAACGAGGAGGCTGCCGCCGTTTGGGCGTGGCTTAGTGGGGGGGTCATAAATGGGGGGGGTCAGAAACGGTCCCCTTTCGTGCCCCTTTCGGGCCCCTCTGGAGCCCCAGGGGGCTCGTTTAGGTACCGTTTGGGTACCTTTTCGGACCACCCGCGACACCCCCCCATTTATGACCCCTCCATTACGCAACGCCCAAGCCGTGAGGCGGCAGGAGGCCACCGGGAGGCCCGAGGAGGGACGAGGAGCGCCGAGGGGGGCGCCGCCTCTGTCTGTCTCGACGGGCCCTCCTCCGCGAGGGGCCCTCCCCGAAGCGACGGTGCCGTCGAGGAGAGGAGCACGCGCGGCAGAGGAGAACACGGCACACAAACAAAACTGTACTCTTAAGTCGGGCCTGTCCCCCCACAGGGGATGTTCGACGAAAAATGGGAAAAAAAACACAAAAATCATCAAAACAGATTCCAAACATAGTCTGGGGACTATTTATATATATATATATATATATATATATATATATACACATTTTTGAAGCATTTTTGGGGTATTTGTTATTTTCCGTCGAAAATCCCTGCAGGGGGGGGGGACAGGCCCGACCGAACCGTACTCTCGGAGGTCCGCGCGGACTTCTCGGATTGGCGCTGGGCCCCCCTCTCTGGCGCCGATGCCAGGCACCCGCGCGGACCACGGGATTCTCGCGGCTGCGTGTAGATGTTTCTTGCTGCTACCCCGCTTGATTCAAAATGATACAGACATTTGCTGAAATGAAAATGAGCTCTGAGTCATCTCGCCAGTCGGCCGGAAGAAGTGGGACAACAATTGCATATGACGGCAGATAAATGAGGTTGGGTTCAGGCCCTCCCTGAGAACAACAAGACACAGCAACAGCCGATGGCTTCGAGAATTTAGATTGGAATGTGGGGAGACAGGAACATCCTCCTGTTAACGATCGACGGGTAGATACAACATTGTTTATGTCTGTGTAGACTGGTCCCTCGCGCCCTCGGAGCGGCCGCTCGGCGACAGGGTGGGCCAGCCCGCGCCCTCCGAGGGTCCCTTTTCGGCAACCCCCGCTTCACCACCATCTCGCGACGCCCAATCCTGGTGGAACGGTTCGTCAGCCGGTGGAGAAAAACCTGCTCAAGTTCGTTCCACGGTAAGGGATGTTACATGCTGCTTCCTTTTTTGCGGTGCGGTCCCGAAGCCTCTCAGAAGCCTTCTCGTCACAAACATCGTGACAGATCCATGAACTACCTTAAAGAAGACCACTTGTTTCTTCAATCGTGACAGCCCACATGCTACCTCGGAGCGAACCTCGCAAAACTGCGGTGCTGATGGTAGCGTTGACTCGGGAAGCCTCGGGAAACCAGAGGCCCCGCAGAGAACCCGAAGAAGCTTTCCAGATGTCCCTCCGAATCTCTCAAGAGGTTCCTTAAAGACTCTTCAGGGGCTCCACAGAGGCTTTCAAGGAGACTCCTCAGGGCGAACCCCAGCATACGGCAAGATCCCCCAATAATCCCGCAACAATCCGCAAGAAACGCGTGCACGAGTGGATCGCACAGCAGCGTTGATAACACGCGCATCAGTCGTGTTAGGAGTGGTCGTGGTAGCGGTGGTGGTGGTAGCACAGGGAATTCAAGCAAATAAATTATTTTTGGTTTCCGAAATCCGGGAAATTAAAACTCTAGGTTGTCGTCTAGGCATCGCAGCCCCACACCAGAGCAACCAAGAACAAACAACAAACAACCAGAGCCGGTGCAGCGTCGCGGCATGACACACACCAAAGATTCGTCTAGCAAATGAACGCGCCACGAATCATTGCGGTCGTGCTGGGCGGTCGTGCTGGGAGGTCGTGCTGGGGGTTGCGATGCTGGTCGCGGGGGGGTTGCACTGGGAGGGCGTGCTGCGGCGTTGTGCTGGGGGTTTGTGCTGAGGGGCAGTGCTGGGAGATTGTGCTGGGGGGTTGTGCTGGCGGGCTGTGTTGGGGGTTGTGCTGAGGGGCTGTGCCGGAAGGTCGGGTAGCGCGGGTTGTGCTGAGGGGTTGTGCTGGGGGATTGTGCTGGAGGGTCATGCTGGGGGGTTGTGCTGAGGGGTTGTACGGTGGGGGTGTGCTGGGGGGCTTTGCTGAGGGGTTGTGCTGGGGGATTATGCTGGGTGGGGTTGTGCTGGGGGTTGTGCTGGTTGGTTGTGCAAAGGAATTGTGCTGGGGTGTGTGTTGGGGGGTTGTGTTGTGGGGATGTATTGAAGGTTGTTGTGTTTGGGGGTAATTATGGGGGGTTGTGTTGGGGGGTTGTGCTGGTGGGTCGTGCTGGGAAGTCGGCCTGGGTGGGTTATGTCACGTGGTTGTGCTGTGGGTTGCGCGGGCGGGTTCAGCTGGGGTGTTGTGCAGGGGGATTGCGCTGGGGGGTTGCGCAGGGGGGATTGTGCTGATGAGGTGCGCTGGGAACGTGCTGGGGTGTTTTCTGGGCGTTTCGTCGGTGGTTTGCGCGGTGGGGTTGTACTTGGGGGGGGGGGGGCTGGGGGGTTGTGCCAGGGGTTGTGCGGGGGGGGTGGGGTGGGACGTCGTGTTTGTGGGGTTGTGATAGGGGGGTTGTGCTGGGGGGTTATGCTGGGGGGGTGCGGTGGGGGTTCTTGCTGGGGGTTTGTTCTGGCGGGTTGTGCTGGGGCGGGCGTTGTGCCGGGGGGATTGGGCTGGGTGGTCGTGTTGTGGGGTCGTGCTGGGGGGGGGTTGTGCTGGGGGCTTGCGCTGGGGAGTTGTGCTGGGGGTTTGTGTTCGGTGGTTGTGCTTGGGGGCTGTGCGGGGGGGTTCTGCTGGGGGAGGGGTGCTGCGGTTCTGCGCTAGGGGTTGTACTGGGGATTGTGCCGGGGGTCGTGCTGGGGGTTTGTGCTGGGGGGTTGTGCTGAGGGTTTCTGCTGGGGGGTTTTGCTGGGGGCTGTGCCGGGAGGTCGTGCTGGAGTTTTGTGCTGGTGGGTTGAGCTGGTGGTTGTCGGGAGTTGTGCTGGGGGGTTGTGCTGAGGGGTTGTGCTTGGAATTCGTGTTGGGATTACGCGTCCGGGGCCCATGTCAGCGTGTGATTCGCATATCCGTCGGGGGTGCGTTTTTTATGTTTCCCTGCTCGGGCGAATCGCGGGGTGGCGCCCGCCAGATTGAAAATCAATGGGGCGGCGCCAGTGGTGCACGCCGGCGCCCGGCCGCCGACGAGGGGCAATGAGGGGGCGTTTGGAGGCAAATGCGAGCCAGGGCGCCCCTCTTTCTGTCGAACCGATGCGGGCCTGCGGGCAAGGCGGGCTGGACGAAAGTGGGGCGCAGCAAAGAGGGGATTTGCCAAGCAGCTCACGTCGCCGATTTTCCAAGCGCCTCCTGGCGCCCAAAAGGGCCATGCGTCGAGGACTGGCCCTTCGGCGGGGCGACCGAAACCAGCTGCGCGCAGCAGGCTTTGCAACCCACCCTTTCCTTCCCCAGCCTTTCGTCCGACCCGAACAAGGCGGGTAGTCCTCCTCCCCCCTCTGTCGCCGTCGTCGCCGCCGTCCCCAGCCCTGTCTGGACCTCTTTCCTCTCTCCTCCTTCCCCCTTGCGCGCGTGATTAAAAACATATCGCGCCCCGCAGGGTCCATTCATAAGCCACGGGGGGGGGCCTTTTGTTAATCACAAGCGGACATTATGCTGTGGGGTTGTGTTGGGTGGGGGTGCGGTGTGGTTGTGCTGGCCGGGGGTGCTGGGGTGTAGTGCAGGGGGTTGTGCTGGGTGTCGTGCTAGGTGGTCGTGCTGGGACCGATGTCCCTAGGTCGAGGAGGATCGATGAGGCCGACGATGCTAGGGCTGAGGAGGGTCGTCGAGGAGCAGGGGAAGGGTGATCGAGGAGGATCGAGGAGGAACACGAGGACCGATCTCTCCGAGGATCGAGGAGTGACGCTTATCCCGACACGAGGCGCAGATGGGGAGCACAAGCGGTAGCGATACCGCCACGGCAAGTTCGTGTCGTGCCGACTTTGCGCTGGTATGGCACCACGGGGATCCTAAACGTCAGATCATTCAACATCGACGGATTCTGGGTCGACAGCGGCGCTCCACGTGGAACGGCGGCGGCGGGGTCGCCGCCCGGTCGACGCGACGCGAACCTGCCGCACTCCGCGGAGCTCTCCCAGGGTGCGCTCTGACCAGACCTTCGAAGGGAAGCTGGGGAAGCAAGAAGGTACTGCTACACCCTGCGAAATGCTTTAGAAATCATGGGTTAAGAAATTCATCGTCTCAGAATTTGAATCAAAGCCCAGAATGTCTATTCAAATCTTGGGATTTACATTGAAACATTAAGAATCATCAAGACTCTGGCCGAAAACCTGGGTATTCTTAAGCATCGCCTAGAGTGTACTCCCCGATCATCTCCCTGGGAGCGTTTTGACCAGAAAATTTCGATGCGAATGCAAAACGGTGGCGAGGAGGGCCCCCCAATGGGGGCCGAAAAAAGGCGGGAACAGGGGAGGCGTCGTGGTTTGGGCACCTCTTCCTCCTCTGAGCCGTGGCGACGAGGGCCTGCCGGGAGGCACAACAGGCAAGAGCGAGGCGACCGAGGCCCGAGGAGGGACGAGAAGAAGCTCACGCCGCTCCTCGGCGTTTTCGGGCCAGAGCTCAACTCTGACGATCTGGCCCCCCCCCACACACAACGCCCTCGGCGAGGCGCAGCCGCTGGAACGCACCCAGAGAGTGGCAAGCCGCCAAGAGCATGTGAAAACGCACAGAAACCTCTCAACCTCGAACCTACGCCGCTCGAGGGTCTCAGGATGGCTCTAGCGGTGCGTGGGTCGTGGTGCTCTGGAGGTACCCCCTGCGCGCGCGCGCAAGGAGGATGGGCACCTCCGCAAACGCACCCCGGGGCTGGCAAACCGACGAGAACCTACGAAAACGCCCAAAGACCTCGAGCCTCGAGGACGACAGAGGCGAAAAAAGGCAACAGCGAGTCAGGAAGAGCGGTACCGGTACCTCTTCAACCTTTGGGCAAGGGGTGACTATCCACGAGCCCCAACCCAACCCAACCCGAAGTCGCCATTGGGCCTGTCGATTTCCAGCGGGGGGACGTTTTGGAACATCGAGAAAGCACCGTGGAACCAGTTCGCCACCCAACCTGGAATCGGGAGGTGTCTGGAACCTTCGGGTTGGGTTGGGGTGGTTTGAGAAGGAAGTCGGCGGCGAGCGAGGGAGGGAACTGAGGGCGCTCCCGGCCCCATGCCGCCCCAGCTGCTCGAAGAGCTGCGCGGCGCCGCCCTGGCAAGCGCCGACGCCAACGATCATGTCGCCGATCTCCACGCGCGGTACGCGACGCGGCCTCGCCTGGGGTTTCTCGGCACGCGGCTAAGCTTCCCTCCGACCGCATGCATACACATCTGTTGGAAGGTGTAGGCGAAAGCACGAAGCAGGAAGGCGGATGAAGTAGATTGGACTCAGCCCCCCCCCCAGAGAACAGCAGAACACAGCAAAAGCCGATCGATTCTTGAAGTAGGAAGGCGCTTGAAATAGATTGGGATCTGGACATCCCCCAAAAACCTACTTTCAACGACGGGCGTCTGCGTCATGTGGCGATGCGAAGACCGTCACGCAAGGGGATGGTTTGCTTGGGAGTGGGTTGGGCCGACTCTCGGTTTCGGGGAGGTGTTCGTCTCGAGATCTCGAGCCCACTCCGGCGAGACCTGGGAAAGAACATCACCCTTCAAGAGCATGAGCTCCTCCGCCGACCAAATGGAAGAACACTCGAGGGTGCCCTCCCCCAGGATGCACAACAAAAACACCCCGCAAGCACGAAGACCATTATGAGGGCAGCCTCCCCGAACCGACCTCGATATTATGCCTCGGTCCGACCGGGACAATCCGGCCGAGGGCGCACCAGAGCTGGTCCTGCCTTGCAGGCACGCCGCTCCTGGCGTGCGCTCCGCGGAATCACGCCCGGAGACAGCGCCGGGAAGTGCATGTCCCAGGGGTGCAGCCGCAGGCGGGGCCGGGCGCCAGGCCGGGCTGGCATCCTCCACGGCTGGCATCTTCGGAGGCCCGAAATGGGTACTGAACAAATGGGTACAAGGCCCAACCGTAAATGTTGCCCCAAACCAAAAGCGGCCGCTGTTGGGCAGGCGGCCTCCTGTCTCGAATTTGGACACAGGCCGCGGCGGCGCGGACGGCGAGCCCTGTTCAAAAGGAACAGGAACTGCTGATGAGCACTGCACCCGTTCTTTCTGTGCCCATTTCGGGCGTGCAGAGCATCTGGCGACCCCGGCTCGGAGCGGCCGGACCTCTCCCA